GACACAACATAATTGGTTTCCTCTTCCACCAGCTTCGGAATGATCTCCCGGGCTGCTGCCGAGACCGTCTCTGTCTTCTTATCGGGCAGGGCTTTGGTCACTGCTTCTCGGGTGAAAACGTCCGAGACAATCAGCCCGTACTTGTTGGCCCCCCGAGTGTTGACGTTGAAGTCGATCAAATCAGCTTGCAGCCGATCGTTGGGGCCCTCGGCTGCACTCTTGCCTAAAGACCGGGGCTTGGGGGCCAAAATCTGCCTGGCCACGTCGTCCCGCAAAGCTCGCGCGGCTCGGGCATAGGTCATGCCCGGCCGGTCCGGGAATTCCCGCCGTGCCAGCTGGTGCAGCTTCCGCACATCGCGGACCGAGAAGTCCGCGGCCAGCTGCCGGAATAGGTTCACGTTCTCCGCGTCCATTTTATATCACGAGCGGCCCCGCTTCTTGCCCTTCTTCTCCAGGGCCTCCACACGGGCCTGGAGCCCCTGGCAGACACCCCACAAAACGCAGCACATGCGGTTGTAGTCAAGAGTGGTGAGCTCTCCCAGCTCCTCGTCCACGAGCTTGCCGCACAGCGCCTGGCCCACGGGCCCCGTCTCCTGAACTTCATTCGCAATAAAGCCCAGCGTGCGCTTCTGGCTGCCCACGGTCCGCCGGTACCACTTGGGCGCCACGGAGTCGAAGAGCTGCTGCAGCTCCTCGAGCTCCGCGGGCTCCACGTTGTGCTTCAGCTTCTCGTCCGTTGCAAATCACCTCGCCGTCGTTGGCCCCGCCCGTGTTGGATTCTACGATGAGGTTGGCCGGTCCGGTCGCCGCGGTGCGCAGGAAGATGGCCTGGTCCTGGGCGTAGAGCTGCACGCCCCCCGCGGAAGAGGCGGAGAGCTCCCCACAGCCTGCATTGCAGGCCACCAGGAGCCGTGCATTGCCCGCCGTCGCGAGGTTCAGCACCTCCGCCGTGACGTCCCCGCTGTTGACGGTGGACACCACCTGCAAATCCCCCTGCGCCTGCACCCCTGTGGAGCCACCGATGAGCTCCAGGTAGGCCGGGCTCGAAACGACGCCGTTGTCGGCCCGAATCGCACTGGCGGTGTAGAGCACCGAGTTGAGGTAAGTGCCCTGCGTGCCGCCCGTGAGGGTGAGGTAGTCGTCTGTGGGCCTCGCCCGCACCGTGGGCGCCCGCAGCTCCGTGCTGAGCTCCACACTCCCCGAGGTCAGCGTGCCCTGCACGTCCAGCAGAGCCACCTGGTGATGGTGAGCTCCGTGTCCTGGACCCGCGTGGAGATGGCATTGGTCACCAGCCCCGTGGCCGTGCCCGTGGCGTCGTCGATGCAGCCTCGGGGCCACCGTGTGCACCTCCGAAGGTGCAGAGGCTCTGGTCTGATTGGTCCGTCACCCTGACGGAGACGGTGCCCGCCTTGAGGTTCAGGAATTGATTGGCGGGCAGCAGGGGCTCCACCGTGTCCGCCTGGAAGCTGCCGGCCCTTGGCGATGCCCAGGCTGCTGTCTGCGACGCCCGTCTTGAGGCTGAACTGGCTCGAGGACAGGTCGGCCACGGCGGCCCCGTTGGAAGCCTCGAACTCGATGCCCAGGTTGCCGCCCCGCAGCGTCAAGAAATCCGCTCCGTTGGCTCTCACGTCATTGACCAGCAGGGGATCCGAGGGCGGCGCACCCGCCAGCGCATAGCGGGCGTCGCTTTCGGCCTTGCTGTAGCAGTCAGCTGCACCGTGGCGGAGTTGCCGAGGATCAGGTTCGCCCCTAGGGGTGCCTGGGGCAGCAGCGCCCTTATCATTCTTGGCGTGAAGTTGTCGAGCACCATAGGAATGATGCCCCCACCCCCCGCGTTGCCGTTGACCACATGGTACCTGGAGTCCAGGGGCGTGAAGTCGCTGTTGGAGAAGTACCTCCCATCACTTTCGCTTTTGCTGTAGCAGTCACACGTAAGCTGCACCGTGGCGGAGTTGCCCAGGATCAGGTTCGCTCCCAGGGGTGCCTGGGGCAGCAGCGCCCTTATCATTCTGGGCGTGAAGTTGTGGAGGACCATAGGGATGATGCCTCCGCCTCCGGCGTTGCCGTTGACAGGATGATACCGGGCGTCACCTGTGCTTCGGTGAGGAGCCCAGAGGAGCTGATCTGGCTGGCGATCTCCACCGAGGTTTCGCCCTGGTCCCAGTAGTTGGTCAGCTCCGAAGCAAGGGAGCTGTCGATGTCGGCCTGCGTGGCGTACTGCGAAACGTTCAGGGCGTCCACGGCGCTCGATATCTGCGCGTTCACCTTGGCCTGCGTGTACGTCTGGCTCTGGTCGTAGGCCTGGCACTCGATCTGCAGCGTGTTGCCCGAGTTCTGGAGGCTGGCCACTAGAGGCCCGGCGAAGTGCAGGTTCCGGAGGGCCTGCCCGGTCAGCAGCTCCCAGGTTGTGTTCCCGCTCCACGTGGGTGCGTTGGAAATAGCTGCGCCCGTAATGAGGGCGTCCACGTAGTAGGATGCGAGCGCTATAGCGATCTCGTTCAGGATGGGCGCCTGAAGCCCGGTCCACGGCACGTATGCGCTCAAGTCGATTCCGCCCACGGCCGCAGCAATGGCAGCATCCATCTGCGTGGTGGTGCTGTACGGGACCAGGGCTGCAGTGATGGCTCCATTGGTTTCGCTGGAGTCGTAAAAGGATCCGAGGGTGGCCAGCACGCAGGACTCGCTGGCCAGGGGCGCCAGAAGAGCATTGACCTCCGCCTGCGTGTACGCATCGCAGGCCAGGCTTAGCGTGAAGTTGTCGTTCTCGAGGGAGACGCTCAGGGGAGCGTTGAAGTGCCAGTTCCTAATTGTGTTCGTTCCGACCAGCAGATCCCAGGTGGTCTGTCCGGGCCACGCCGCCTGGGCGTTGGCCAGGTTCGTGCCGCCGCCCGTGGTCAGTGCGGCCAGTGCTGCGTTGAGCGCATCGATGGCGCTCTGCAGACTTGTTTCGGAAGCCGACAGGTCCGCCGCCGTCGCAAAAGGCCCCGCACCTTGCAGTGCCAGGATCTCCGCATCGTGCCCGTCGAGGCGCGCATCTCGCACGGCCAGCAGTGCGTTGAGCCCCGCAGTGTCCGTGTACCCTGCGAGTGCGGTGGCAAGAGCTGCAGCCACGTCGGCAGCCGACTGGAAGCCTGTGGCTTGCAGCGCCGCCAGGGCCGCCTCGGCGGCGTCGAGCCTCCCGTCTCGGATGGCAAGCGCTGCGTCCAGGGCTGCCTGCTGCACGAAAGGAAGAAGCCGTAGCGATGAGCTGCGAGACATCCGCTGGCGTGGTGCGCAGGGCTACCGTGCTGCTGAGGTCGGTGGTTGTGGGCCGGTCCAAAAGAGCCGTCGCTATTTTCTGGTCGACGTCCGCGGCCGTTTGCCGGGCCGCCACGTCGAGGGCCAGCTGGTCCTGCGTGCTCTTCAGCCCATAGGTGCTCGCGACCTGCGCGAGCACTGCGTTGTCGGCACTGGTGATGGCCGAGTTCATGGAAGCGTTGGTGGGATGGTTGGCGAGCAGGAGGCTGACAGAGGCGGGCGTGCTCTTGGAGTTCACGTCCAGCTGCAGCGCATCGAGTGCACTTTGGTTCGCCTTCCCCGCCAGCCCCGTGGTGAGGCTGGTGCTGAGGGTGGTTATGGAAGGCAGCGATGAGGCCCTCGGCGGCTGCCAAATCGGCTCCCAGCGCATAGGGTGCGAGGTCAGGAGGCGGTGGGATGGCGGCCACCTGGGCCTGCAGTGCCGCGACGGCGGCCGAGTTGGTTCCGATGGAGGCGGTGTTGGCTGCGGTGTCGGTCAGGGGGGTGTAGGCCGTCAAAACCGTGGCCAGCTGCCCTGCGGAGATGCCCTGCATCTCGATGGTGGTGCTTGGGGTCTGGCCATCGTTGAGGATGTTCCCGGTGATGGTGGACTCAAAAAGACTCATGTTTTACTTACTATCAATCGAGGCTCGACACGCCCGCCGAGCTCAAAGTACAGAGCTGATACGACAGCATGTGCACAAAACACTGGTCCACGCGGTCCGCTTCCATGTTGCTGAAGCTGAAGCGGCACAGGTCGCCGGAGCGGGTTGAGATGCCCGACAGCGGGTGCTTCGGCACGCGCTCCACCGGGAAGGCTGCGATGAACTGCGTGTTCCCGTAGAGGTTGTCCCGGATGCGCATGTTGCGAAGCTTGGAGTCGTAGGTGCCCGCGAGAATCTCCAAATAATGATGATGTTCAGCGATGCTCTCGTTGGCCGTCCGAGGGTACTGCAACGCGCCCAGCTGCAGCTGGCTCTTGAGGTTCCGGTTCGCGTTCGCTCCAGGATACTCGAAATTGTCCACGTGGTCCTCCGTGGTCTTGTTGAAGGTCACGAAGGCGCCGAGCATCTTCGTGAACGCGCGGGCCACGGTGATGTTGTAGCTGGTGCTCCCGGCGGCGATACTGCTGAGTTGGGTGTGGATGGTCGGGAAGGAAAAAACGAGAGATCTACCGCTGGTCATGATTCTCTGGAAGCTCTCCCGAAGAGCCGAGTCGAGGGTCACCTGGGAGGCGTAGAGCTTCACGTTCTCGATGGTGTAGTCCTGGCTCCCGCTGACGTTGCGGGCCCCGTCCGTGGGGTCGCAGAAGGTTATTTGAAGGACGACGTTGAGTTCAGGCGGGAGCATTTTGCCGCAATTGAAGATCCCAATGAGGTGCGGGCTCATGAGCACTGTCCGGGAGCCCGAGGCCGGGATCTCCTCGGCGTGGCCCCCCCCGTCCGCCAAAAAGCCCTGGATGTGCCGGTTCAGCCACCACTCCTCGTTCTTCAGGAGGCTGTACAGATACGAGCAGCGGTTGTAGTAGCTGATGTCCTCGATGCGAGTGCCCCCACAAAAGACTTCTATGCGGTCGATGAGGCACGACGGGTCCGGCGAGGCGAGCTGCAGCGTGGCCGTGTCGGAGTTGTTGCGCACCGTGAAGCCTGGTGGTCCTGCTCCGCGAGCAGGGCTTGCCGAGATCCGGGCGGATCGCGGCGGGCCTTGAGAAGGTGAAGGAAGACCTCGCTTGCGGCGCCCGCCAGACGCTGCCCGCAATAGGGGAGCCCCAGCCGCCCCATCCAGGCCTGCAGCACATCCAGGTCTTCGTGGAAGGCGGAGATGACGCAGTCCTCGCCGCCCAGCACCCTCAGCCGCAGGCACCGCCACTCGCTCATGCTTCGCATGACCACCTTCGGGCAGTGCCCCTCGGCCAGGAGCTCCCTCCGGACCTGCTCCAGGTCTTCAGTGTAGAAATGACCGCTGGCGACCTCGCCCTCCCACTCCCGCCAATCCTTGAACTCGGGCGTTTCGCCTGGCTTCCTCTCGCCCCGGTACCTGGCCCGCTCCCCGATCGGCTCGCACTTCCCGACGGTGCGGGCGGATTTGTAGAAGAAGGCGTGGCCGTTCCAGCTCGTGAAGGCCACGGCCCGCTGCTCCTTGACGGTAGGCTCGTACTTGTCCAGCAGGCGGCCCTGGCAGTCCACGTAGAACATCGGGGCCTGGCGCCAAAGGCAGAATTCCCGGATCTCTCGGGGGGTGATGCCCTGCTCCCGCCACGTTTTTTTGGTGCAGATTGCGTCGAAGTCCGAAAGCACCTCCTGCAGCGGCAGCCGCATCAACTCCGCGAGCTGCCGAGGGACGCAAAGCTTGTCCGGCCGCTGTTCGAAGGCGTAGGATTTCGTCGCCGCAGTACAGCTGGTAGGAGACGCCCCCCAGGGGCTGATCCAGGACGGTCTCCACCACCACCCGGTCGTCTACGACCTGCATGGCCTGCTGGCTGAAGGTCCACTCCCTCGTCGCGTCCAGGTAGTAGCTCTCGTCGGACAGCTCCCAAATAATGTCGTTCGGCTCGGGCTTCCCGAGCTGCGCGAGCGCGGACGCCTTGAGGTTCTGGGCCGCTTGGGCCATCCGAGAGCCCCTCGCTCTGCCGGGGCAGTGTGACGTTGAGGTCCGTGACGGGCAGGCGCTTCGTGCGCTCGTAGGGCATGCCGCGGTTCCGGCCGTTTCGCCGGATGCCGCGGATGATGACGGGCACGTGCACCACCCAGTCCACCCACTTGTCCTTGAAGAAGCTCTTCCCGAGCTTGGTCAAGTGGTAGTTCCCGTTGGGCTGGAGGCTGCGGAGCAGCTTTTTGGCGCCCCCCCGGAGCATGATGTAATCGTTCGGGCCCTCGCGGATGAGGGGTTGGTTGCGGTCGTACTGCCGGCTGGGGGGCGGCCGGTCGATCAGTTGGTAGTAGTACTGGCCGGCCCTCGTGAGTTCGCCGTTCGGGCGGCTGAGCATCGCGTAGCGGAGGTGGTGGTGTGCCAAAGGAAGGGTTTCTGAGCCTGCCGCCGAGGTCCTCGCCCTGACCCCGGCCTCGGCTGCAATTCTAATCGCTTCTCGTTGTTGAGCCCAGCTCATGACTTTTGAAAACCCCGGCCGGAAAAAAGGTCGTCGCCCGAGCGGGCCCCCCTTCGCCGGTCGAGTTTTTTCCGGGCACTTGGTTCAAAAGCATGGACCGGTATCTCGTGAACCCCCGGCCCCAGCCCAAGAATTTCATGGAAGAGGTGATCTCGACCTGGCACGACGACGCCCCGCTCGAGCGAGCCTGATGATCGTGGCCTTCATGGCGTTGCCGCCACGTCCCAACCGTCCCCCGCCCAGACCGCAGCCCAGCAGACTCACTGCGACCGAGGAGAGTTTGACCAAAGACCCACTAATCGACTGGCTGTTCCCGGATTCGGGCACCGCGGTGGTAGGGATGATCCCCGATCTCTTTCTGTGCAGCCGGGGCACTTTGCTCTGCCTGCAAGACTTTTGCGATCGCCGACGCGACCGCCAAGCGACGCGCAGCCGGCAGCAGAGGGAAGCAGCCCTCCAAAGTTTGAGGCTCCGCCTGGGCCACAAGGTCACGGACCGGGTGCTTGAATACACGAAGCCCTTGCGCGAAGGAGGCAAGCGACGGGTCCTGTGCCTTTTGGCCAGAATCGCGAACATGACCGAACACGAGCAGTGTGAAAAAATCACGAGGGCTTTCAGTGACGCATGGCAGCGGCCTAGAAACTCGTCACTGCTCCAGGGCGAGCAGGCCTAAAAATCACTGCTCTAGGGCGAGCAGGCTGCCTTAAACCTCCTAAACCCAAAGCGTTGGCATTTTTGTTTTGCACGTTCTTGCTGGATTCGCATGATTTTGGCATGACTTTGCTTGATTTTCGCATAATTTTGTGGCATTTTTTTTGTTGTTTTTTTTCTGCGCATTTTTTGCTAGAGTGCTTGGGCCGTGCTCGCTCCTCGACGCCGGGCGCTCCAGAGGTTCAGGGTTGTTTGGGAAGGTGGTTGGGGGTTCTGAGGCAGTGAGGTCTGGAAGTGCAGTGTTGCAAGGTTTCAGGGTTTAGGTTGACAGGCAAGGGGCTCCGAGGCTGCTAGGTGGTTCGGACTGCGTGCGGGTAGGAGTGCTGTCCCCCACCCGTCCCTTCCCCTTGTAACCTAGAGTGTTGTGCGCTTCCCCCCCCGCCCTTCCTGGAATCCCCAGGCCCTCGTGTGATCAGGTGCTCCTCGTCATCGTCTTCGTTACTGCGAGCCGGGTTCCACAGAGGCTTCAGGGTCGGTAGGGTTTAGGGTTGCAGGCAAGGGGGCTCCGAGGCAGCAAGGTTTGGAAGTGCTGTGCTGCAAGGTTTCGGGGTCGGGTTTTGTTCGCAGGCTTAGGCCCCCTCCTCTCCCCCCTCCTGCGGCCAGGCGCTCATCGAAAGCTTCGTCCTCGAGCCATCTTCGATTCCACCAGAGGCGGGTTTAGGGTTTAGGGGTGAAGTGCTTTGGTGTTGTGGTTGGGGTTGTGTGCCTCAAGAGGACAGTGTATGGATTTAGGGCCTAATTTAGGGAACACATGCTTCGGGAGTGCTGTGCCGTGCCTGCCCAGTGAGCCCGAAGCCCCACCTGCAGCCTTAAATCCGCGTCTTGAGGAGACGTTGTCAAGTGGCGCGATCTTCGAGCCACAAGGCGGGTGCTCCGAGTGAGCGTGGGTTGAGTGAAGTAACGTAACCCCGTGACCTTTTTTTGAAGGCTCTTGGAAAACTGAAGGCGTGACCCCGTGACCCTTTTGAGTTCGGGAATGGGAGGCGTGACCCCGTGACCCCGTGACCCTTTTGAGTCGGGAATGGGAGGCGTGACCCCGTGACCCCGTGACCCTTTTGAGTCGGGAATCGTGACCCCGTGACCCTTTTGAGTCGGGAATGGGAGGCGTGACCCCGTGACCCCGTGACCCTTTTGAGTCGGGAATGGGAGGCGTGACCCCATGACCCCGTGACCCTTTTGAGTCGGGAATGGGAGGCGTGACCCCGTGACCCCGTGACCCTTTTGAGTCAGGAATGGGAGGCGTGACCCCGTGACCCCATGACCCTTTTGAGTCAGGAATGGAAGGCGTGACCCCGTGACCCCATGACCCTTTTGAGTCAGGAATGGGAGGCGTGACCCCGTGACCCCGTGACCCCGTGACCCTTTTGAGTCGGGAATGGGAGGCGTGACCCCGTGACCCTTTTGAGTCGGGATTGTGATGGGGGACCATGCGGGGGGTCACGGGGTCACGGGGTCACGGGGCCGGGGGGGGGTCACGGGGTCACGGGGTCACGGGGTCACGGGGTCACGGGGTCACGGGGGTGCGGGGGGGCTCTCGGGGGTCACGGGGTCACGGGGTCACGGGGGTCCGGGGGGGGGTCACGGGGTCACAGGGTCACGGGGTCACGGGGGTGCGGGAGGCTCACGACGCGGTTACGGGTTACGGGGGTCACGGGGGGTTACGGGGTTACGGGGGCACGGGGTCACGGGGTCACGGGGTCACGCGGTCAGGGGTGACCGGTCACAGGGTCACGGGGGCACGCGGGGCCGCACAGACGTCGGGTCACGCAGGTGGGCCACACGTGTGACGGGGCGCCGGCCAGGGCGCTCGAAAGATTACAGGCCCTTCACTGCCCACCAGGCCGTCCCACCCCCACCTTCCTCCCACCCTGAGACTGGGGCCAGGGTTTCACATTTCACAGGCCTTTGCAAGTGGCAAGGCTTCAGATTTCATGGGCTTTCGGGAGTGTGCCGCCGCAAGGCCCGATCCCTGTCGAGAACCCCGACCGAGGCATCTTGCAGCAGTTGCCTGTGCACACTTGCAACTGCTTCGCATGTTGAATTGCAGTTGGTTAATTAAACACTTGGCCCGTGACTGAAATAGGGGGAGCTCGACCATTCGTTCATGCAGATTGCAGTGCTTTTGCTCGAGCCAGAGGACAGCTAGGACGATTGCCGCCATGAGCCGGCCTCCAGCAACATCGCGCAAGGTCGGGCGCGCTGTGGTGCTACTGGCGCCGCTCTGGGTGTCTCTGCCAGAGCCTAAGACCAGTGCTTTGAACAGTGTTAGAGGGTTTCCCGAGCAGCCCCAGGCGAGCAACGCAGACGGCGCGGGCTTTGCTAGGAGCGGGGGCCGTGCAGTTTCCAAGGTGGGATGTGATGTATGGCATGGAGTGCCGAAGATCCGCAAGCCAGCGCGAGGTCGGTTCCTCCGGGAATATGGGCACAGAGCTTGCTGGTCGCACGCAGGGCCAAGGCGGGAAGCCGAGACCGACAGGAAATTCAGTGTTAAGCGTATGTCCTGAAGAGCTGAGGCTGGCGATGGTGAGGCCGAAGACAGTGAAGACGTCAAGGCGACAAGGGTTTTGTCGTGTTGTGTTTCTTGTGACTCACGCTAAAGCATGCCAAAGAAGGCTGCCCCATCACAGACCGCTGAAACGGTCGAGGATGCCAAGAAGGGGATTGCCGGGAAGAAGGCGTGCACTCATGTCCTAGGTGCTTGAAGTGTTTGGGTTGTCAGTCAGCTTCTGTTCGTGCCAGCACTTTGCAACTCCAGGCCCGAAAGGCAGGTTTTGCCATGTTTTGCCTTTCTGACCCGCTTCAACTTGTATGATGTAGGTGCTCCAAACGCTCAACTCTGCCAGCAGCACATGTCTGTTCGGGGTCAGTCCATGTTTGGAGGCTTCCTCAGCAAAGTATGAGGATGAGGTGGATGAGGTGGAAAAGGTGGAAGAGGCGACGACCGAGGCATGTGTTTTTGCTGGTGCGGGCTTCGCATTTCTGCGTGGCTCCTGCAGGCCAGAGCAGGCTTCGATCAGGCAGGATCCGTGAAGGCTCGCCGACTCTGGAGCATCGCTGAGGATGTGCCCCTTGCTGCAGGACGAGTGGCTGCAACAGACCGCTGACCAGATCAAGAACTTTACAGTGAAGCAGGCGATTGGCAAAATGTCTCTTTTGCTTGAGCTTCGAGTCCGGGCTGCTTGCAGGTATGTGACTGGGCGAAAGCAGTGCTGAAAGCGAAAGGTCTCGATGAAGGGTTGGCAGCGGAAGCGGCCCAGCGGTTGGAAAATGAGGCAGTGACAGGTGAAGTGCTCATCGGTGTTACGGTTCAAGAGCTGAAGCTGGACTACGGGATGAAGCGTGGCCATGCGACATTGCTGGTGAATCAGCTGCAAGCTTCCGGGGGCTCGGCGCCGCCGACGGCAGCGAGCGGACTCCAGGCCGGGGCCTTTAGCAGAGCTGGCTCGTGACATCATGGGTTTCGTCGGTTTCGTTTCTTTCGTGTCAGACCGGAGTCTCACAGGATCCCCTCCTCGTTAAGCTGGCTCCACACTGCCTTCTCGGTTGGTTCTTGGTGTCTTCAGTGCCAGCCTCACTGCAGTGTTTGGCAGCTCGTCGTTAAGCCTCAGTGTTGGCTTGCAGCACTTGGTGTTGGCTTGCAGCACTTGGGGAGTGGGAGGGGCTTTCGGATCAGAGGGCTCTTGGCTGCTTCAGGCTCATGCAAATCTAGTTGCTCCTCGTGTTTTGCCGATGCTTCAGAACGGGGTGTCAGTCCTAGGCTCGATGTGGGGGGGGGGGTCAGCCTGTTTTGCGCTCGCTTTGCGCTCGCTCTCGAGGTTGCGGTTGTTTTTGTTTGAGGCTCGACTGTCAGGTTAGTCCGTGAGGGGGAGTCAAGGGACCTGGGTTCTTAGTGCTTGCCTTTAGCACACGGACCTTGCCGAGCGGTGGGGTTCCGGCAAGACGAGTGCAGGGGGCTTCTGCTTGGGCATGTTGCCTTTGGCTTGTAGCACTCCTGCCTGCCCGGGGCTCTTGGTCGTCGTGCGTTTTCGTGCGGTCTACCGTTGTTGCGTTTTGGGGTGCTGCTTTCCTCTCAAGATCTCCTTGTGGTTAAGCTGTCTCCACTGTGTTGGCTTGCAGCAGTTCGGGGAGCGGGAGCGTCTTTCGGAGCAGAGGGCTCTTGGCAGCTTCAG